CTCCGACTTTATATGTACGACCGATCAAGGTAGTTTGCAAAGAAAAAGTCTACTAAGCAAACGTTTGGATATAAAACAAATGAGGAGACGGAATGGGATTTGCTTCTTTTTGATCCGAAGACCTGACATGAAATTCTAAATTGATACCCTAGAGCCGGGGTCACACTGCTCATGCATCCTACAATAAACAGTCTTCCAGATATCAGTCACCGCGATATCCGTGGTTCGAATACCGCGTGCCATGTTTCTCCTTTAACTCATTGCCCTGCAGCATTCGAAGCACGGACCTCGCGGTGACTCGCGTTCGAATCTCTATGCAAACCGTCCTTTGTAGGATTTATGAGCAGTGTGACCCCGACTTAACGTTCAGGTATCAATTTTAACAAGACAATTCTGAAAGATTATCTAGTTGGGGGTGGTATGTCATAACGGGAAACAGAAATCGGAGACGCTTCAATAAAATGTAAAAAGGAATAAATTAACTAAGGTTCTATTAGAAAACAAGGGACCTCGTACTGAGTTTGTACGCTTTATGCATGAGCTCACTGATTTCTGTGTTTCATCGAGGTGCTGTTGTGAAGATTATGAAACCGGTTAAAAGCAAGAGTTGCTGTGTAAGTGTTTTGTGTTTCGTTACAGCGCACTCAAGTTTTTCGAGCGCTCTAAAAAGTACCCGTGCGTCTTCTTTCCCGCACAACACTCCGAGAGCCAATCACCGAAACCTATGGAGGCAACTCAGCGAATGTCGATGCCGAAACATAATTTTAGACGAAAAAATGCAGTCTGAGTTGTGACATTAGGCAATGCGAGCGTGACTTTTGCATTGTCGAACGTGCCGAACTCGAACACCATAGTGGAGATTATATTGCTGCGTCGTTAGTTGCGTCGTTAGTCCACAAGGTATTTTATTGGCAACCTCTAACCGTTTTAACGAACTAAGCTGGAGAACATACTCTAGTTGAATTTTGAAAAACATATTGTGAGTGACAAGGACGGAAGCGGGGTCGCTGCAACTGCCCAAACATCTTGTGTACAACTAGTTGGTCATCTAAGGATCCTCTTACACTTTAACGAAGGAATCATTTTTTGGCTCACCTCTGGAGGAAGCTTCGCGTAAAAGGTCATCCCAGCGGTGGCTCAAGGTGTTGGCTGTGCCGTTGTGACGTGTCAGGTGTTAGTCTAGTCTAGATTGATGGCGTCACAGAAAATGTCAAGGTGACTTTGGTAATCGCATTTGATCAGGTGAAATGTTTCGAGAAGAGAACTCGAACTTGCGTATAAAGCAGAATTTTTCATTGGTGAAATTCCGTTTTCTTTTTGATTAGCTTCGTCCCTGTTTTTTTTTTTTTTGTTTTTTTTGCGTTAGTGTAAAAATGCCGAGCTTCTGAGTGATAGTACTCACCTTGGTAAAATTATATAGTGCTCACGTCTGCCTACCTGCGAGAAGAACACAGCCTCCCGCCTTACACTACGCTTCACTACGTGAAAAGCTGAAATGAATGCTGTATTTTTTTTTTTTTTTATGCCGCATAAAAGGCTTTACACTATGAACGACTGGTTGTCATTTCAGTTCGATTTTTTTTTCGATGTGTTTATTTGTCAAAAAAACATAAAAGACACAAACATGCTTAGGTTAAAAAAAAATACTGCGATTTAGCATAGCAGGTGTGTAAAAAGGTTCCTAAAGCCTAAAAAATACCAACTGAGCGCTTGAAAACAATACAATGGCTACTTCGAAAGATCACATAAAATTACGTCCAGCTCTAAGAAATGCCTGCGCGTCTACTTATCCGCCAAACACTCAAAGAACCGATCTGTGCGATCTAGGAAATCAGCTCAGCGAATGATGAGGCACCTGTTTAGACCTAAAAATGAAGTCTGCGCTATGGCATTACGCACTGCAAGCATGACGCTTTGCATTCCACAATGCCAAAGCACAGACTGCCTTTTTAGATCTAAACAGGTGCCTCATCATTCGCTGAGCTGATTTCCTAGATCGCACAGATTGGTTCTTTGAGTGTTTGGCGGATAAGTAGACGCGCAGGCATTTCTTAGAGTTTAAGCAAGACAGGCTAGCCTAACATATATACAAAAAACAAGATATAAGCATACACTTGAAAAGCAGCACACACACAAGAAAATATACATATGCAAAAGACATGCTAATATAGCAGAAAAAAGAACACAGTTCAAGAACTTTAACTGTTGAGCCCCAGCAACCACGATACTTCGTCTAGAAACATGTTCACATTCTGTTCAAACTGCTGCTGGATGCTGGCAGCGGTCGCCCCTCCCCCTCTCACAGCGGCGGTCAGGTTCATCCACTGCCTTTGGAGGCTTTGCTTGTGGGTCCGGATGGCATCGTTGTTAGCCGCGTAGTTAGGTCGCGTGGCATTTGGTGTCTCTCCGTTCTCAAGCTGCCGGATCCTCACCTATAACAAAAAAAATAATAATAATAAAAACAATGCCATGAACGTTTAGTTCGCTCATAATATCTGAAACAATGGGCTTTTTACGGGCAGTCATCAATGTACAGAGGATTGCATTTGTCTCCTCTATCCTCACGCTCCCGGGCAACAATGTCTTACCAGCGTGCTGGCAACGAATGCGGAGTGGCTGAGGCAAACAATAGGAGCTATAAGCCGCAATATTGATATCGCAGAAAATCTCGTACTCTCGCTCAGAAATTCCGACGTTATGATTTCGTGCTGCGAAACGTTTGATCGCAGTGTTAGTAAGCCCCTTATGCTGGCGGTACTCGTATATGTTTACACAACTATTACCGTTGACATGGCGATTTTTTTTTTGTTTGCTTTGGCCTGGAAATTGATTGGAATTTACATTGGTTGTTATTATTTCGTCAAATTGCTGGACTGCGTTCCTCCCCTGCACTTTTGACTCCTACTTTTTCCCGGTTTTTTTTTTCAAGTGTGCCAGCACTAAGGCCCCCATGATTTTTTCTGGACACTAATAAACATTGATCGATTGATTGATATAGGGGTAATTGCCAGGCGGCCGCACGTACATAGCAGTTCTACGAAAATTGTCCTCCCCTAACTTAATTCAGTGGTTTTCAAACTGGGTTCCGCGGGCAGGTCTCTTCGGTTCCGTGAGCACCCATAGTTAGATTTTGCTTTTTTTATATATTTGTACACAACTACTAATCGTTATTTTAGATTGGCGCGAATATTTGAAAGCTTTGAATATCGTAACCAACAGTCACATATTTGATTCGTACTTCGAACTGAAGAGGACTACTTGGCAACTTAGATATACTTTCGAAGATTTCGAAGTTCGAAAATAGATCTGCGAAATTCATGAGCATCCGGGAAAAGCAAGGCGCTCCACCGTGACGCGCCGGTGTAAAGCGGCGAAGATTAACACCGATATATCGGTCGAAGCAGGTATGCTTTCCCCCAGAGCGCCTATGCAAAACGGAGAAGCATAACGCGAGACGACGATGGCTACGTTTCCGGATGCGACAGCAGTGCATCGGATCGAGCTTACATATCAAATCCACTTCAACCATTCCGTTTACATGAATTCGCTTGTTTACATTGTGCAATCGCTTTGTGCCCCTGTGTGCGCACGTTGTTTAAGCGTGCTGTTTAAGTATGAAGGAATTTTTTGTGACTATGCGCACAAGACGGGGTGGCCAACAGGCCGAAGAACAAGGCGTGCGAACGGCCGGCAACCGGCGTTCACTGATGGCAATGTTTAATGTGAACATTTACCGCGCCCGCTTCGTAGGTTGCAGCTAGCAGTGAGTGTTTTTCCGGCTTGCCTATTCCCAAGCTACTGAAGTAGTGGGTAATCGAAGTCTGGAACATAGCGCCCAACCATACATGAAAGATTTATTTTTTCCGCTTTCGCCATGGTTTAAGCGCCGCGGCTCCTATGGTCATTGCTGTCATATTCGGATACACGTATGTCTTTCATGGCCCCGAAGATATATCATTCGCATTGTGTATGGTTTCAAGAATATACTTGAACGTTTATTATTATTAACTTGAATCGCGCTAACTCGCTCCGATTCGCTAGTGGCGCATCCCTGTGAACGCAGCGAATAGGGAGTTTTCGCAGACAGCATTTACCCCTCCGCAGGGGCCGCCGCAACAAAGAAGCCGCTACTGCGCCTGCGCGCCGATGGCCTTGACTGTGGAATTCCGGGAGTCGTGGCGGGTTGGGGAGAGCGTTGCGGGATGGCGAAAAAGATCTACGAAAACTCCCTATTAACTATTACGGGGAGCGGAGGCTGGAAACGGGGAGGGTTCCGGGGCAATTTTTGAAGGTTGCTAGGGTTCCTAGAGGACCGGTTTGAAAACCCATATCTTAATTGGTGGATATAAAATAGAGGCTTACCTGTGTCATGTGGTGGATATTCTTCTGGAAATCTACCATGAATTTCCCGAGGGGCATCCTCGGCTGGCACTGAAAACGGGAGCTCAGCGAGCGGTGCCACCCTTCGGCGTGATTTGTAGTGCGCAGGTTGTCTTCATCCTTGAAATGGTTCCAAAGTGCCACCTGTCTTGGCGAAATGAGCCACTGGCGCTCGAAGTAAGAACTAAACTCCGTTATGGCTGCGTCTAGCCTCGGGGTTCCGGTCATCGGCGTCTGGCCTTTCAGGGATGTAGTCCAGTGGGGCATCACGAGACGCTCCGGGAGGAGGGCGAGGCTCACTAGCCTTCGAGCCCAGCGCCTGAAAGCTGGCCTTTGGATGTCACCATAGAGTTCCTGCAGGATCAAGGTTAAATTCAGATTATAGATTAGGCACAAAACTGGCAAAGGGCGATTTCACAATTTCCAAATTACAAGTTTTAAGAAAGATCTACGCACCCGCAAGCCTAGTTGGGCCATCTTGCGGATGACGCAGTGGGCGAAGTGGAACAGACACCCCTTGGACTCTGCCCCCGGAAAGGTCACTTCGAATGTAGAGATAGCGACCATCTCGAAGTCGAAATGTCCGAATCGGAGTTCTCCGACGTCACCGCACGCAGAGATCAGGGCAGTGCGTACCACCTCAAAGAACTTCGTATATGTGGCCCGGGTCTTGTCTGGCAGGAGTCCCGCTACAAGAGGAAGTCCTTCTCCTCTTTTGAAGCCGTGAATGCTATAAAGTTGGCTGAACTGCGGTGGGCAAAAGTCGAAAGTGCCATCGCACACCCAGTGTCTTGAATCGTGCAGGGTCCGGAGGTCCTGGGCCGACGCAAGGATAAGGAACGGGGGTTGTGCCTGCTCAAATAGCACGTAGCGGTCATCGGAGTTCACGTTGTTCCTTGACTCCCAAGTCTGGGTGAGCTCCGCCCAGACTGAACCCGGGTCACCTATTCCATGGAGCGTTGGGTATCGCTTGTTGATTTTGCGATAGTACTGAGACTTCACAGACCTGTAAAAAAAATAATAAGTGAGCGTTTTTTTCAGGATCTGTATAGTACCGCAACTCTGGGATGAGGTGGGGGCTCGAGTACTAACTCGAGCGGCGCTAAAACGCTGCAAGCTGTGCAAGCACTTTCCGCAGCTCTTTCGAAACTACCATTTTTTTAACGTGAAACGTTCTTAGCCTAGCATTTTGGTTCTCGTGTCTGAAACGCGCTCGTTGGTCGAGACAAGTAACGTGATCAGTTGAAAATCGAGGTTTGATTGCTCGAGAGAAGTCACGTTGACTAAAGGGTAGGAAAGGGGCCAAAAAATTAGTCTCCCTCCCTGACGGGTCCCGCTGCTTGGCTTCAGTGATCGGTCGAGAACCAGCGTATTCAGCATGTTTGTGGGTGCTAAAGTCGGACATATACGTTTCACGAAATCGCCCCAGATTCGCCTAGAAATTTGCCATAATTTTCGCTCCTAACTCGGTGCATAAAGGCGGGCCGCTCTATTTTTAATGGGTGCTATAATATAGTTAATTCTACTAGATGCTATTCTTGCCTTGCACGTGAAGTCATATGGCACAGTACCAGCCGCCATTGCCTCGTACCATTTCTGTGCACGTATCTTCTGCGGCATGCATATCGCACCATCGAATTAGTTTTTCTCGGCTAGGCTTGCCGAGAAAAAGAAATTTGAAAGTGCCAAATGCATGCTGCAGAAGGTATGGGCACCGGAGCATGGTCTGGAGCAATGGCGGCTGGTGTGACGCCAATGCAAGCCATGTATTACTATTCGAAACGAACGTGACTCACTTGTAGGGCGGCAAATGCCTCTCTATTTTTCGCTGCTCGTTGATACTGTTGGCGCTGAAAGATCTGGCCAAGTCCGCCTGCATGTTCTCATAGGCTTCGCGCGGCCGCTTTGCCGTACTGACTGGTATGGCAAGGCGGTGATCCCTTTCGTGGTGTTTCGCCACCAGCTGCAAAGGGAGGGGCATTTAGCAATAAGTAAATTGAGAATAATATAATTCCGCCCGAAAATTGATATGACAATGTCACTGTTGAAACCTGCGAATATCAGCAGTTTACTAAGGGGCTCGTATTATTATCATTCCAGTTTGCAAAACGGAGCAAGGAAATTAAAAAAAAAACGTCAAACTAGAGCACTAGAAAGTAGAAAACCTAAAAAATATTTTTTACAATATTAGGGTTATATTGCGGAGCGCTAGCTTTGTCTCTAATTACAAATCTCGGTAACGAGAAATTAGAGTTAAGCTTTTGAGGAGGAGGGGAGGGTATGCCCCTCCTCCTCTGTACAATTCAGATTGACGTGGAGGTCACGTGGCTTCAGTTTTCCCACTCAATCTAGCGGAGAAACTGAATTTGTTCCCGGGTGACGTGACACGAAGCCATGACGTCGTTTTCCCCGCTAAATTTAACCGGGAAACTGAATTGGTCTTGAGGTCACGTGGCGTCAACTCTCCGGCTAAATATGGCGGAGAAACTGAATCTGTTCATGGGCGACGTGACAAATTGATATGGCATAATTTCCCCCTCTAAATTTAGCGGAAAAATTGACGTCCCATGACCTCAACACTAATTCAATTTCCCGCTAAATTTAGCGCCGGCTTGGGGCCAACGCATCCATTGTGCCAATACATCCATCGAACAATTACGTCCTATCTCGTGCTACTACATTCATAGTGCCACTACATACATTTTTGGCGAGTTCATCCAACGTGCCATTGCATCAATCAAGCAATTACATCCATCGTGCCATTACATCCACCGCGCCATCAGATCCATCGAGCAACTTCGTCCAAGACCGTGTCATTACATACATCCTGCCATATCATCCATCGTGTGATCACATCCACCGAGCTTCTTCGTCCAAAAACGTGCCATTATATCCATCACACACGCAGGTTTATTTCTTCGTTTAACTATGCTGTATAATTTAATGGAAGCTGTTTCACCGAATGCCGTAGTATCGATTGTCATGTCATCGAACGCCGTTTCATCGAACATAAAGTTTCTTCTCGGATGGTTTTTCGATACAGGAATTTTATATTACTCGCCGTCTAATTGACAGTCTATAGTTCACAGTACTTTAAAGAGTTAAATGTACAAAAGCGAGGGAAGGGGCCCTTGTGCGTAGTTCACTTTCTGCGGCCCTTGGCGTCTCCAAAGTTGAATGCGCATCGTCGGCTCGTTGTCTGTTGTTTCCACACTGATCAAACATTAATTACTGCTTTTTTCAACCTCAAAATTAACTAAATATCAACAAATTTAATATAGGATTAGGACGGCGCGTATAATCATACTTTTCGTTCGCTTTGTGAAACATCATGAGTGATGATGTCATGTAATGTGTTTGCAAGTGTTTACTAAGGCGCCTGTCAAGCCACGCAATGTAGCTTTTTCCCCTTCTCCTTCTCCAGACTGGAGTAAATAAAGATTAATCCAAATTGAATTGAAACGAAAAAAAATTAATCTGAAGGCTTACAAAATTTAATTTTGATACACTAACCATTCTTTAGCTTACCGTTTGTTCCCTGGGGCACCCGAACCAATAAGAATGTGAATAACGAAAAAAGCACCATGGCGGCCATCTTGGCTTCTATGAATGTACTAGTACGATGGGTGTAATGGCAGACTATGCGTCATAACAAAGGACGAGCAATTACATCCACCGAGCCAATACATCCATCGAGCAGCTACATCCATACACATGTCCACACATCCAACGAGCCGTACATCCATCGTGTCATTACATCCATCGATGGATGTAATGGCTCGGAGGATGTACTAGCTCGATGGATGTAATAACACGTAATAGGTTAGGCCGACGCCACGAAACCCGGAAACTGGCGCCTAAAAGTTGCGCTCTAAAAAAGAAAATGTTTAAAAATATTCACCTACCTGGCATGGCTCCAAGGGGATACAGATGTGTGGAGTGGTTTTCATGTCAAACACGACATCGGACTCCAGCACTTTCATCCTCGGTAAAGGCTGGTTCCTTATACCGTTCTTTTCCTTTTCTCGGCGACATGCAAGGCACACGTAGTACTTCACCCACGGTTCTGTTGATGATGGTGGCCTATATTTGGAGCTATATATATATTCCCGGGTCACACCCTCTAAGGTTGTGACAATCAGTAGAGGATTTCCACGCTGGGTGTGCCTCCATGTGTGGGAAGAGATTTGTGCCATCCTGCAATTTTAGAAAACAAGGTTATTGGGTGCGCACCTACATTTTCCTTCCGCAAGCTACAAACTTTTCCTCGTGCTATGTGTTACATGGCTGAGATCCCTGAGAAAACCGACACGCCCGGACGACATGCACAAATGACACGATCGACCCAAACAAAGCGGGTGCGTGCAGCTGTGCCTCATGTCTCGCGGAAGCCTACACCCTTCTTTAGGACAGACCCAAAACTATACCTATAAAATCGGAGAGGCAAACAATATATTGTGAATGAGTTAGGCACATGATGTGAGTGCTTGCGCAAGCACCGCACGGTAGAATCACAACAGGCGTAACAAATCCTAGGCACACAAAATCTAAACAAATCATAACAGATATTACCTTGCGCAGCCACAAACACTATTGCCTGGCTGATCGAAACCACAATGTGCCTCCAGCGTTTATGACTACGATGAACACAAGGTTTATTATTTTCTCGATGCATTTGTCAATCGTATTTGAACTCCGGAGTTGTTAACAGGTTTTGAAAAACGCGCTTAGATTCTAGGAGTTTTAAGTGCTGCGAGCACCAACTGGTGGGTATCATTTAGAGCGCAATCTGTTTTTTTAGCTATAGATATCGAGGACTTTTTAGAGATGGAAGCATTGTGCAAATCTTGTGGTTTGTAGAGTCCAAGGTGACATAAATAAGGAGGATATCTTTTGTCAATCGTAATATCATCGTATACCAAATCATTGAACACTAAGGTGAAATGGTTACTAAATTTTTGGTTTAAAACGTGTTGTAAGTAGAAAAGAGAAGTGAGCATTGCAGTTAGCGTGCTGTAGACGGGCATTTTGCCGAACAAACTACCGCAATAAAACATAAGTGGTGTGTATAAATACTTATAGAGCGAGATGCTTGTGAGCCATCCATGGGAGCTACATCTCTTTACGCTCCAGATGAAAACTTCATGCAGCGCTAAATTATAGCAATAAACAAACCTTAATTTTAAAATTATGTTTTAGAAAACGGGGCGACGGAATATGCTCCAACTGTTGTATGTACCTCGTCATAAGCGAACGATACTGCAATTTTAATTAGTATATTGATAATAATGACTGAGTTGCAGACCTAAAATGGGAAGCTTACCTCTCAAGGGAACAGGCCAAGAACGAGCATCGGGAGTTGTTTCGACAGCAAAAATGAAGAGTGGTTTCGGGAGGTTGACCGAGTGGCTTTTATAGAAAAAAAGGATCTTAAAAAGCCTAAAGCTTTTTTTTTTCTTTCAGTTTAGTTGTTTGCGATACATTTTTTTCCCCTCAGAAGTCAGCGAGTGCGCGACTTCTGCTTGTGAGCGAAGCGCTGAAACCTAAAGCTACAAAAAAAAAAAAAAACACGCACACACAAAAAAAAAAAAAACGCATTTTCAACAACGCGCAAAGATATAAGAGAACAAAAGTATCTCAAACGATTGAACTAAATAAAAGACCACTTGAATTGCAACATTTATTTTTCTCTAGATGCTGCTTGTACAGGCAAGCTCTGTTCTTCTTTCTACTAAACGCAAATTCCGGACCTAGGTCACGTGACGTGCTCAAAACTACCCTACTAAACCTTCAAAGGAGTGTCCAGGATTTCGTATCGAAATGAGTATGAAAAAACACGGCTTGGCTCTATCCACATTCGTTCCCGTTGGCTTTGCAAAGCAAAATCCTGGTACGTTGTCCGGTTTAAAGGAAAAAAAAAAAACCTTCAGCTGTAACCTTACAAAATATGCCATGAGACTTCGCGTGTCAAAATGAGCGCGTGCCAGCTGTGACCGCGAGAAGAAAAAAAAAAGGGGGGGGGGGAGCTTTTTCGAGATAACTTTAATCCACAACTAAAAAAAAAAAAAAAAAAAAAGATAAATATCGGTGCTACTTGCCGGAAAACAGAGCTCGAAGGTTTCTTCTGCTCAAGCGAAGGAGTAGGAAGGCAGTATGTATTGTACAAGGAGGGTGAAGAGAAGGGAAGGGGGGGGGGGGGGGGGGGGGGAGGGAGCGGGGAAGCGGACGTCTTGCTAAACTTAGCAATCCCCCTAAACCCCCGCCCTTTTCTCCCCAGACTAGTGGCAGACCTTTATTTTTTTTTTATTATTATTTCTTTTTTTCGCTAGTGCTTACAAAACGATTGATGCCTACTGCAATAATTCACGTTCTTCGAAATAACCTCTACCACCTGCCGGATCACTAGATAGGGGTGCCTTGGTATGAAACAGTAAGAGTCACTAGAAAGTAGATTGGAAAAGCTTTTTTTGTGCGAACTTCGGTGCGAAAGATAAGCCGTCTCGTGAACGATTAAGGTCACAGCAGCTCAGTCGAGCCACCAGGATCTAGCTTCCTTTCTCAATGAAATGAATGTTGCGCTCAAGCACGCAATCCCGTTGCTGTTGTTGTTTTCCTTGCATGCCCGAAATTTTTGAGGGTCCAGTTCTGGAAATTGCGTATTCTGGCTTTTGGGTTGACGCGTACTTTTTGCGGCCCTCCACGTTTTTAAGCAAGAAATTCTTTTAGCTCGTCTTTTCGCCAACCTAATGATGTATCCACATAAAAAAAACACTCAGAATTTACTTCAAAATTTACCCGTTCTCGAAGCGAAGCCGAATAAAACCGAGCGAAACCGGGCAACGAAGTAAAACCGCATCAAAAAATTACTTTTTTTTTAACTTCAGTTTGTTTTTATACATACTCATTATCTGGTTCCGCTTAATAAGCGTTAGGAAATTATATTTTTCCTTACAAAAAAATTATGATAACGGTTGTTATAGATATATTTGTTACGCATAGTATGTGTAAGGAAATGGCTCATTTTCTTACACTTAGAATTATGTGTAAATGGTTAGTCATAAACAACTAGTATAACAATAACAACTCCGAGAAAAAGAAGTCAACCGTAGGAGGGCGAGAGAAACGCCTCAGCGTTTCCGTCGCCGCCTTATCGTATTTTTTATTGCTTTCATTCCCTCTTAACTTGACTGCGGCGCCATCCGGGATCCATCCAAGAAATTGCTTTTGCTCCGAACTCTGAAATAATAAAGCGACTCATTTAAACACCCAAAAAATGAGTTCACAGGAATGGTGAAAGGCCAGTTGTTGGATTCTTGGTTGTTAATTACGACACTGACGAGCCTTTAAAGGGATACTGAACCAAAGAATTTAGTGCCCATAATAAGTGGCGCACGTTCTTTCCACGAGCCAGCAGCCGCCGGCGTGCGCGAGCACACGCAACAAAAATGACGTCACAGACCTCCATTCGCGGTTGAGATGACAGTGAAATGCATGGGCTTCGGACTAAAGGAGAATAAAGACAGGCTTTTCATCTCTACAAGTGAAAGCTACGTGTTCGTTAGACCCAATTCATCGCTTACCTTTTACACCAGACACCACTGTCTAGATGAAAAACTTGTCTTTATTCTCCTTTGGTCCGAAGCCCATACATTTCACTGTCATCTCAACTGCGAATGGAGGTCTGTGACGTCATTTTTGTTGCGTGTGCTCGCGCACACCGGCGGCTGCTGGCTCGTGGAAAGAACGTGCGCCACTTATTACGGACACTAAATTCCTTGGTTCAGTATCCCTTTAAGGTGCTGGACGCTGATTCGAATCATAACATAGAAGTCATACTCGGGCATTATTTCAATCAAAACGCTGTTGTTAGATGCGAAGTAACAATAGCGCATAGTCTACCGTTGTAATTGTTTGCTGTAAATACTAAAAAGAACTAGGTGGCAGCTGAGCTTTCGGTCGGGAAAGAACACGAAGGCAAAAGTGGCCCGCCCGTTAAAAACTCTGCATACTGTAATAGGA